CTGCTATGTTAATACATTGGGTCCACATGAAGGCCCAGTCAGTATAGTTGCAGTTAGTTCAACACTGGGGGATATAGCAGTTTTATGCAAAGCAAAGAAAGAAGAAGATGAGAGTATAGATCTAAGGCTTTTAAAATTATATTTGTACGTATTATTCTTTAGGTTCTCAAGCATGTTGTGTTCTTAATTTGTGGACCATTAATGGTAGACTTGTCAAGACTATGAGAAGCGCTACACAGATCCTCTCTCTTTGCTACACTTCAGCACCTGAAGGAGTCCATGTTAATGTCATCATTGGAGGGCTAGCCAATGGAAAAATAATGTGAGGAGTGTATTCTAACTATGCTTGATTGTGTGATGGTACATGTAGGTTCTGGAGCTCTTGGGATTTATCAGAGGTTTGTGAGCTGTCTTGTCCTACTGAGGAGTGTAACCCAGTATTGAGGTGAGAATATCTTGAAATTAGTTAATCATTAATCAATCCTCACTTTCTCTCTCTCACACAGTTTGGCAGTCAGTTCTTGTTCCACTAAACTCTATGCTGGTTATAGCAATCAGCAAGTGGTTACATGGGTCAAGCCAGAGACTGGAGATGAAGAGACTGGTGATTACGTTCTGGTACCACCTCCAAACACTTTGCATCACTCACCTCAGCTGTCAGACAAGGCAGCTCAGTCAACCACTTCCGTATTAAAATACTTTTAATTGTTTTTGAGTGGATCTTAAATTCTATGTCTTTTCACCAAAAATAAATTATTATTATTGTTATTAATTTTTTCCCTCTTCTTTACTGTATTATGACACAGGTTTTAATTTGTAATTCTGAGCTGTTCTATTCTTTGTGTGTATGTAAATGTGAAAAAAATCACTTTAAATTATTTTTTCTCTTTATTGTTAATAATAAAATGATCTATAATATTACTAAAAATGATATTAATTTATTTTAACATGCAACAAAGCATAGATAATAGAGTAAATTACTCAATTACTCTGATATCTGCATCTGTATTGTTATTAGCAATTTAAGTGGCTCTTTTATTGAAATAAAATATGAGTAAAAAAATTCATTAAATTTTGCAACTTCCTGTTCTTGTTCACACCTCGAGGTGTAAACAAGGTGTCAAAAACTAGCTTGTAATTTTTGCAGCACTAATTAATTTTCAGTTGACTGGTTTAAAAATTGACCAACAGTCTCCCTAAACTTTAACTTAATGAATAAAATAAATAGTACATTATCATTATAGCACAAATTAAAATCCGACTGTAGCTTTTGGTTGGTTGTAGGTTTAAGACTGAATTGAATGACAATAATATAATAAATAATGTTTTTGTTGTTCTGATTCATTTCATAGAGCAATAAATTCTGGAACTACAAAAGGAGACATACAATTAACAGTATTTAATAATTATCATTATCTGAGTATACCTTTACTGGTATCTAATGGTAAAAAATCCAGTTGATATGGAGTGATGATTGTTGGAGAGGTACAAGATGAAGAAGAGGAGGAGGACTGAGCCCTTTGGTTCCTTAATCTTAATCTTCTTAAAGGATAAGGCTCCTTTACAGCAGGTACCCCACCAGTAGTAGAACTAGTGCTACTGGTGGGAGTAGTACTGAGTGTAGTGGTGGTCGTTGTGTTCGGGTTTGTTTGGTATTGCTTCAATGGATTCCTCCAGTGCTTCAATGGACAGTGTCTCTTACCTCTTGGACAGGTTCCAGTTCTTGAGTAGTCTGGACAAGTCAGTGTATGTTGCTTCTTGCACTAAGTAAGAAGTAAGATAGAGACATTAAACTGATTTAGGTTTTTCAATCACATACAGTAGACTGTGATAATATGATTATATACAATACGAATTATTCATTCAATTCATTCATTCATTCATATGCTCACATCTTCTCCAAGTGGACAATATCCTTTTATAAAGTCCATACAGAGCTCAGCATTAGGGCCTACGCTAACATGAAGATATGGACAATTATCACGAGTACACACGCCACGAAGGAAGAAAGAACAAACGGGCATCTATTAGAAACAATTTAACTAGGATACTATTTTTAGCATTTACTTTCTCCTTTGAAATGTTGTGAGAAAAAGGACATGAGCCATCAATGTTTTCACATTTACCTCTTAAAAATCTAGAGAAATACAGTACATATTAATAACACAGTATTCTTATACATAATGTAACAATTAAAATTACTTGCTGCATATAGCAATCCTCTTAGGATCATGAATGTACTGACACTGATCCCCACGGTTACACCTCCCTGTACCAAATATCATTAGTATGACTAAAAGCAAAGTCAAGACAAACCGAATCTGTTGTAATAGAGACAGTACTGGGAGCGAAGGATATGAGGGCCATTCCTCTTCGCAGACCAAACTCTGTTCACATTCTTTTGTACAACATGACTAAAAAGAAACGGAAACCAATTTCGTAATATTTGTCAACATGCTAACACTGTAGACATACACAGTGACACACTGTAGACAAAATACATAAAAGACACACATTGCACACACACACACACACACACACACACACACACACACACACACACACACACACACACACACACACACACACACACACACACACACACACACACACACACACACACACACACACACACACACACAAACCACAGCTTAGCCTCACACACTATTAACTTAATAATAATAATAATACAGTTATGTACTTGGCTCTCTTCAGTTTGAGTGTAGTTGATCTGGAAAGAGGTCTGTGCGGTATTTTACTATTAGGAATACCTTTGGCATTCTTACGTGAAGCTGTACAAGAGAAAGAAAAGAAAGGAGAGTGATTTTGGCTCAAACTTTTAACATTATAAGAGCATCAGTATGGGGTTGACTTCTCAGCCACTTTTGGGCAATAAACTCATACAACATTTTCAGATTAAAAGATTATAAATCAACACTTTTCAGACACTTAGAGCTTAAAAGATTATAATTTCATCATGTACACTCACTTGATAATCTTCTCATTGATTTCCCATTCTTTGACATTAAATATGAATTCCCTTTAATGGAAACTTGAACTTTTCTCTTGGCTCTCCTTGGAGTAACACAAGTAACCTATTATATATACAATTTGCATTTAAAATAAATGTATTATAAAATTCTAACTTGTTGCATTTTAGTTTGTTGCTGCGGTTTTGATTTCTCTTTTTTCTTTTCCTTGATTAGTTCGGCCGACAGCCATTGCTTGTTACCCTGTCTTGTCTTTACTTCAAGACCTGATGGACGGGCTCTTCTCTTCTTTCCTCCATTGGGAGCCCACACTCTGTGAACGCTCTTCCTTTTGGTAAAAGGAGAAGCTAAAGCAGAAGAGGAGAGACGCTGTTTTTTAGAACGCGAGCTGTGGATTGGTGAATGGGATGACTGCTTAGTAATGAAGTGTAGTCGCCTACAAATAGGAATGACATAATTGTTACTATTAAAAGAAAGCTATTTTTAGAATCATGATGATGAAGTCAAGAACCAATTCTTGAGTGACTGACCTTTGGGAAAAGCTGTTACTAGCAGTTGCTGATGTGACTCTTAGCTGAAAATGAATAGAATAATTATATATTATATTCCTTTTTTAATCTTTTCACACATGCATACAGCATATTGCATCTCTTCTTACCAATTGGTATCTTTTAATAATAAATGGTGACTTGTTAAAGGATCCATTACCACCACTACTGCTGGATCTTCTCCTCTTACGACTCACTATAATAATAATAATAATAATAATAATAATAATAATAATAATAATAATAACACTAGTATTAATATCATTACATATTGATGGTATAGGAATGGATCGTGTTGCTTTGGTTGTTTTTGTAACACCATCGGATAACATTGCATCATCCTTCCTGGTCCATTTTAGCTTAGAAGTGTCTGGTTTTCTGAGCTGCTGTCTGCAAAGGAAATAGAACAGCATCCCATAAAGCTTATGATTCACACTTTGGGAGGGTCACATATCTTACGCTTTACCACCTGCTCTGTACTGTACCTTTTGGTATTTTTAAACTGTTTATTATTATTATCACAGACAACACGTCTCTGTGTGCTACCAGGGGATGATAACAAATCACCTGCCAACCTAAAAACACATCATCACTATACAATAATCCATTATTAAAGACACATACTGTAATAAATGATAGGGAATATACAAGTACTGGACTTTACTACATGTAAGTATGAAGGCTATAAAATGGGCATAAAATTTAGGGCAGGGATTGTACACTGTACATTCACATTAGTAGATGATAAATTCACATTCGTTGCATACTGCATGCCTGTATATGTACATGTGTCACAGTCTCTCGTTATTCAATTAGCTAGTAAATGATTGATAATGTTATACAACAAACGGTGAGATCATTTTACCAATGGAATCCAATACTTATGTACATAATAAGGCAGACACTACTCAACAATGTACAATGTACATGTATATATACAGGGTTTCCCACAGGAGTTTGGCATAATGCTCATGCAGAGTAGATTGTCAAGTTGCTCAATAATCAGATCAAAGGGCCTGGACTATAGTACAGGGTATTTCGTCAAAATGGCTAGGAGAGAATTTGTCATTTTTATAATTTTTTCTGGTACATATACATGTTCTTATGTTGTGTAGAAAGTTTGAGCTGATTCCGATCAAATTTGGATTTTTAAAGAATTTTTCAAGTTACTCAAAAATTGGGCCAAAATCCCTGTACTATAGTACAGGGATTTTGGTCAAATTTCGTCAAAAATGAAAAGTAAAAAATTCTTCATTTTTATAATTTTTTTTGATACATATACTTGTTCTTATATTGTGTATCAACTTTGAGCTGATTCCAAGCAAATCTAGATTTTTTATGAATTTTTAAAGTTGCCCAAAATGCCATGTACTGTATTGTAGTGCTTGTCAGCTCATGAAGCTCATGCTGTTTGGCTCACTTAGCATGCTTTGTGGGAAACCGGGTGTATATTCACATAAAAAGTAAATTAATCTTACTTCATTTTCTTCAATTTTCCTCCTCCATACACTCTCTCTGTCTTGTCTCTCTCTCCTATCAGTCTCTTGTTTCCTGCCTTTAGTCCTGACATGATGACAGTCCTTTGTGGCTCTCTATTAGTTTCTGAGGGCAACTGGGGAGGTGACACACCTTTTAGTACACTCTCTGTCTTGTTGTCCTTCTCTCCTCTTCTTTGTGATATGATAACAATCCTCTCTGGGTCTTTCTTGGCTACTGATGGCAGCAGAGGTGAAGTGCCTTCAATTAGACTAGTCTCCATTGATTGGACGCTATCATTCAGTCCTTGTCTTGTTGGGGTTTGTTTCCCTGGAGACAAAGGAAATGAGGAGGAGGAGGAGGAGGAGGAGGAAGAGAGACGAGGTCTAGAAGAAAGGAAGACAAGAGAGCTCTTTTTGCTGTTACTGGCTGTCAGTGAGAGAGGAAAGTGAGAGCTAATGCTACCGGGATAAGTCCATGATGGAGCTGCTACTGATCTACATAATATATATAAAAGATCTACATATAAAAGATCTGCATAATAGACCAAATATTATTTACGTGTACATATTTAGCGCTAAAATAATTAAAATATTTTCAATATAGCATTAAAATTTGTAGTCACTCATGTGTGAAATCAAATTTTAATAATATCTGTCAATGGATGATGTGTACGTGTGGTTGAGTGTTGAGGTTAGGCTGTGGCTTACATGTAGGAGTTAACAATTCACATTCATCCTGTTAGGATTCTCATTTCTCAACACCAATAATAATATATTTAATATTAAAATGATTTATACAATCATCAATACCTTATAATAAATAAGAACTACTAATTATTGCGATAGCACTACCATCAAAAATACTGCTACTATGAATCAAGTTCAATCTTACTTGTTCCTGTACATGGTCTTGGCTACATTGTTCTCAACGACTTTAGCTGCTGGTGCCTCGTCTGGTGTCTGCAGTGATTTGATAGCTTTGTGTGCAGCAATAAGACCTGTGAGTGCGTGTGAAGAGAAGAGTGAGGGATCATAAACATTGATAGTGTTGGCTGAATCTCACGAGTGAGATATTGTATCTCGTTCCTCAGTTTGGATTCTTGCGACCTGGTATCCATACTCAGCTCTCTACACGAGACACAGGCCCAAAGGCGCAAAGAATGAGGAACGAAGAAGAGAGACTGCTCTGCTGTTTGACTTTGAATTGTATAGTTCAAAATTATTCTAGGTAAAAATGGTACCCGAATAATTAGAATTAGGCTAGACCTATATAAATCTAATGCGGTCAATTACTGTTTGCAGAATCCTGTGCTAAAGTGCTATAAAATAAATGAACTCAGTGAATGTATAAACTCTACAAACTAAACATTAATATACACTGCAGTTGAATGAGTTGATCATTGCTGTATGCTTGACTCAGACACAAAAAAATGCTTCAAAGAGTGCTTGAAAGACTAATGGCTTCCTAAATAAGAAATGACACTGAAACCACTCTTCTTCTCTCGCACATACTTTCTTAAGATAATATTCAGCCACTTCCTCTTTTGTTCTTCTAATAATGTCACTGACTGAACACTAAAAAGATTGATGTGATGTGTGCTCAATTATACATAATGGCAACATACAGCATGGACTGAGGCTGATCTCCTTATAAAGCACTTGTCCTCTTCATTGAGGTACAGCTGTCTAACTATCTTTATCTTCACAACTGGTTTGACGGTTATCTGTGCTACATATAAAGGGATTCTCTCCCTCTGGAATAGAAAAAGAAGCGAATATATTGAGAGGACTAGACTGAGACATGAGTTGTTAACATGTTACTACATGTTGACTTTACAAGCAATGAACATGCATGTATAAAGAATTATGATTATTACATCTTCCCTTTTCAAGCGTAGTATTGAACACCAGCATGGTCTATTAGTCCTTACAAGATGAGGCTTAAAATCACTAAAAATTAATTTTAAAGTTATAATTTAACATGCACTTTAATATAATAAGTCTACCTTTGTATTGGATTGGTAGTGTGTGCAGCCTTTTGACCATCAGGTACAAGCACAGGAAGGAATGTCAACTAATAAATTAAATAATAACAACGATGATGATGATGATGATTGCTGTACTTGATAAAGAGATAGAGGGACTGGTGGGGTGTACCTGCTAAGCACATCTTCCAGTGCAACTCTTAAATGCTCTTTCTATACATAAATAAAATTAAAGTTTGACCTGTCATCCTCCGTCACTCTCTCACTTGAGATTCAGACATATTGATGCCTATAATGAAGCCGTCATCATTAATACCAAGGAAAATCATACCTCCCCTTCCAGAGTTAAGAAAAGCATTAATGTTTCTACATTTAAATGATTTAAGAAATTACTAATAACTATGTGGATCTAACAGGTTTTGAATTTAATACAGCATCTACTACCTTGAGATTGGTCTCCTTGTTGCTTTCTTTTCCCCTTCTTTTATCCAGTTTGGCAGCTCTTCAAACGTGAAGTTGGTGTGCATCTTAAATTCATATACTTCATTCTCCTCTATAGGCATGAAGTCTCCTCTTCGTAGAGATAAAGTGGAGAGCAAGGAGGAACGAGAAGACAGACAAAGAGAAAATCCGCAGTTCATAGTGGGACGTAGAGCAGAATCAGGAGATTAATGCTTATGCATAAAACATAACATGATAGGTGGAGGAGGGTTGTAATTAAATTGTAAATTTGTAATTATTGTAAAAAATATATAATAATTAAACATGTATATTAATTTCTTTTCCTTTTATCTTTATTTTTAGTCTTTCTCTACAGTAGTCAAGTACAAATAAAGTTTATTGATGAATTTATTATTCATTACTTGTTTGCTGTCTTCTTGCTGCTGCGTTACTATCAGCCCAGACGTTTGCAATAACGTTCTTGCGACATTATTAATGTGCTTGAATCTGTCAGGACCCAATTGTATACCACCATACCTACAAAATAATTTTGCATTGCTAATATAATGCACTTTAAAATTCCATGAATTAGTGCAATTATCTAAGACTAGTGTGCTTTAGCTGCGATGGAACCAAACTTACCATCTTGAAACTACAACTAGAACATTCTGTGAATCTGTTATCTATATAAGGTTCAGAATATTTATGTATTATTTTATGCAAGTACTTGTAGTAAGTGTAATAATCTACTCCCAGCTGCATTCTCTCCATCATCATCGCAATCTTGTATTTGAACGCCATCTCTTAGAAACCTAATAATATCGTTAACAATAATCATTACTATTACTAGTACCTGTATGCAAGTATGTTATGTGTTGCTACTTCAATTTTTCTATTTTCTTTAAGTTTACTAACAGCTAATCTGACCTGTCATATAGTAGTCACAAAAATTTATCAATTATTGTCTTTACTTCATCCAGTGAGTGTACTTCAGCAAGATGAGCTTGAAAGGTACTCTTTCGATCAGTTAATGGTTCACCATGAAACAAAGCAGGAGCATTTGAAAGAGAAAGCTCAGGAGAGGATGAGAGAGGGAGCTCCTTAGTCTTTTCTTTTGATGCTACAACTTCTAAAGGAGAAGGATCAAGTTCAAACTGAGTTCTATTGCTGTCCTTTAATACAGTAGTAGTACATTTTTGCTTTTCTTGCTCTACTACTGCAAAGAAAATTCACATTTTTACTATTAATAAGATACTTTTATTGTCAAGATACTCTCTAGCTAGTTCAACCCACTGGTATATTACAACTTCACCAATACTATATATAACAAGTATGAGTGTGTGCCCAATGTAAGTACACTAATTACTGACACTAACTAACTTGAATGAATTGTTCAGCAGTTCTGCTAACTCTCTTTGCTCTGTGTCACTCAATAAAGCACATCTATCAATTGTATGAATAATAGTAAAAGCTGCACAATCATTGATTACTTGATACAGAAGGTTGGAGGAGAATGTAAAGGATAATCAACTGGCAGCATTATCTAGAGGACAGACACTTTCATTCATGAACTAATTAGCATGTATATTTTAGAAGTTAATCAACACACCATTTTATGATTATAATTGATTAGAGTATATATATATATATATATATATTACTTGCATTTCCAGAATGTCTTGATTGCTATCACTGGTAGAGTTAACAGACTTGACATTTATGGTAAAAGAATCATCACTAGTCAACTGAAAATCGCTGCCATATATTGCCTGCAATGACTCTATCTCCTCTAACTACAAAAATAATGTAAAAATGAGAAACTAAGAGAGAAAATACCTTGGTCTGTTCTGCCATGTTTTATACTACCACGCCTATAAGAGCACATGTTTAAAGTATACAGAGAAAGTATCCTGGGGTATTTCGACTATTTTCCGTTTGGTTTGATTTTTAGGTCAGGTCTATTGTCTTAAAAGATATGAATAAAGCCAGGCTAAAGAAAGAATTGCAGATGCTTACAAAGGATCCACCTCATGGAGTAGCCTGCTGGCCAAAGGATGATCAACTCAATGAATGGGAAGCAACTTTAGTAGGCGGAGCTGACACACCCTATAAAGGGGGCATGTTTAAGCTTAAGATAGAATTACCAGAAAGGTATTATAGAGAAGTGCTTGATTGATTGTTATCATTGGTATTGTTAGATATCCGTTTGAGCCTCCTCACATCTTATTCCAAACAAAAATATATCATCCAAACATTGATGACATGGGACGCATTTGTCTTGATATTCTTAAAATGCCACCACAAGGCTCGTGGAAACCAGCTCAGAATATGTCATCAGGTATAAACAGACACACTCGTAGAGTACATTGACCTGTTTCCTTTGTAGTGTTAGCATCAATACAGTTACTATTATCAGAACCTAATCCTGACGATGGGCTAATGGCCAGTATTTCTAAAGAGTACAAGTTTGATAGATTAAAGTTTTTAGAGACGGCTCGGCAGTGGGTACTGAAATATGCTACTGAAGATGTCGTCGAGAGGGATAAAGGAAAAGGTGGAAAGAAGCGCAAAGCTGAAGAGGACGATAATGAAACTTCAGCAAGTAAAACTGCTAAATTTGATGATGTATGATTACACTATTCAATAATAACTTTTTTGTATTTTATCACTTAAGTAATCAATCACTGATTCATTTAGCATATTGATGATATTGGATTATTATTTGGATACTTGAGAACTGCAAACTCTAAATAACACTGATTTTTACTGTAGATTACACACATGACAGTAACTGTACACCTGGACAGAGCAGAGTATGCATGCATAATACTCAAATCTACAAAGAAAGTGCAGTTGTGCGATATATATATTGTAATTGTACATTAAAACAAACTATAATTATCAATAACAAAATAATATAAATGTTATAATACTTTATTTATCAGGTTAATGTTGTCTCAAATCAAGTTACTAATTATTTGTTAGGGCACTAGTAACAGCTGCAATTACAATAATGATGACTGTAATCAGCCACCAGACGCAAGCAGCTATGTTAAGAAAGAAAGCAACTCTTCCTCTTGAAATGGCTTTGTCATATTCACCACGGGACTCTGCATCACGAGCCTATGATGCAAAGCTAATAAGAACTTGTAGACTATTAAATTTACTCACAGCAGATGCAAAGAATATTGCTGGTATAGTGCAGAAAAGAGAGTCCCAAATGCCACAGCAGCAACATATGACAGTCAATATTATTGACAATGTCAAGTAGTAGTCACCAGACTTTTCAATCCTTGCATTAATGACTGTTGGTCCTGGTTGTGTAGCAATAATAACTGTAGGCTCCTATAAATGTTAGATAATATACATTAACATGCTAGCTATATCATTTTTACTGAGTCTTGATTGGTGCCAATTTTTTCATCCCTATATTGTGGTGAAGGTGGATCTTTTGATGTTGTAGTATCTGTTCCTACTAGGACTGCAATGAAATGCTGTGCTTTTAAGCTCTTTACCTTCTGTTTGAGTTTTTTGTGGTGGCTGGTGCTCTGGAGGCTGATCTGGTTGAGGTGAGGATTTCTCTTGCTGTTAATATTAATTTCATAATAATCATCATCATTTGCAACATACCTCTGAGTTTTCAGTTGTGAGAAGTTCTGCTGTAAAATACACAATAAAAATAATACTATAATTTATAGTCTACTTACAATCCATGGGGTTACTATATAAGTTACTGGGACTGTAATGAATAGGTCTATTTGCACAATCTTATTTATAGAAAAAATAATTGAAGCTACACCCACACATTGTTTCCAGGTAGTCCTAGGATCAGGTCAAAGTACTATGATTTAATATTATCACTAATCTAAAATGTACTGAGTCAGTACTTACCTGTGAAGTTCAGTAGGTTCAGCTATTAGAATGAAAATGTTACTATGCGTGAAAGTGTTACTATGTAGTTGTATCAATGTACAGATTTGCACACGTGTCAACTGTCGATTTAAAAGACATTAAGTCACTTGGGCTTTCTCAAGTTATTAAGTTGTGCAAATAGAATAACAAACTAAGTGTACAATCTTATTTATACAAAAGATGATTGAAGTTACACCCACAACAGTTGTATAAATGTGCACATTTGCACGCATTTATACTATGATGAGTACCATAACTATATAGGCCAGCATCATTATGATGTTGCTATTATAGTATTAAGCAACGTAATTTACTACAGGAAGAAACAGTAGATCAAGTTACTTGCATCAAGTTTTAGCTCTGTCACATGAATCAAGTAATATTGATTTCCAATGCAATACATAACAAGTCTCATGTTATTAGCTTCATGTAAGTGTGGTTGTAAGTAAGTTATTCTTATGAAATGTTGTGAAATGTGTGAGGTAAGTTTCAGTTTAAATCAGGCAGGCCATCATATAGCAAGTGCTTCTTCAGCAGTTTGTTGCTGCAATTGAATTTGTAGATCACTTAACTTTTGCTTGAGTACATTCAATCCTGACATGATAATGGTCTCTGCTCGTAACGATCCAGATGACTAAAAGAAGAGAAAAAGAACATTAAGTGGCAGTTAAATATATATTTATATTAATACAAACAAAAATGCTAATACAATGCCTCAAATGGACTGTTATTAGAAGGATACTAAAAGAACAAGCAGTCTCAGCAAAAATTATCCAATGTCTCTCTCTTTTAATAATATACTCACTCACTTCAACATTGAAGAAAAATTTGCTTGGTTTACTCTTGAAGTCAAAAGGAGCTTCTGGTTGAGCTAATGGTGTGCATAAAACTACTATCATTATTATTAATGTTCTTACATTCATCAATTTCACTGTATTCACTCTTAGGCCTGGGGAAAGAAGGAAGTATAGTAATGAGTCCGGATCGACTAACCATTCCTCTGGTTTAGGATAAGTAGTGTGTCTTAATGCGTTATCAGGATCATATTCAAATGATATACCAGCTGCTGGGCTCCATTTAGCATGTTCTTTACCAAATCCCTTCATTAAAAACATAATTAGCAATCATTAGCTAGACTAGTTGATTATTACTTACTTTTGTTGCATAAGCTTTCAGTTTCAATTCCTAAATAATAATAATAATATCATAAAACAAATATAACTTATAGTATAATAGCTGACTTGCCCTTTCCTAAGTTTAACTATTAAAATATCTAAAATAATTATAAATAAACAGAAGAGTTCAGATAAATTATACTCACCATCAGTTAAGCCATAATCTGATGTGTCACTTTCTCTAACCATTGAAGTTACCTACATTGTAGTAAGAAAGGATAAAACCAATTCCAATGAAAATTAGTGAATTTTTAAAATTGCTCAAAAATCGGGCCAAAGTCCCTGTACTATAGTACAGGGACTTTGTCCAAATTTGACCAAAAATAAAAAGGAGAGAATTCTTCAATTTTATAATTTTTCCTGATACATATACATGTTCTTATGTTGTGTAGAAAGTTTGAGCTGATTCCAATCAAATTTGGAATTTTTATGAATTTTTGAAGTTGTTCAAAATTTGCTAAATGCATGCATGTACATGTACATTAGCCTGTGTGGGCACAGTATTACTAGAACTATAAGTACATGTACGTGTACATCAGATACGTACTGGTATAACTGATTGATTTGAAGACAAAAGGTCACGTGTGGTAACAGCTCTAGTGCTTTCATCATTACACTTTACATCAAGTGTATACTCTATGGCACACATTGGACAAAAATCATTACAAGTACATTCCTAGTAAAGAAATGAGAGAATGAAGACATTATTAGTGTTAGGATCATACATACTCTTGAATACTGCATTTTATCGACTGTTCCATCACTAGTAAGTGGTACCAGTCCTAAAATTTTAATTATCCATTAATTAATCATTAGAATATTTAACCCTTTAGTCACTTACCAATTCGGTGAGCAATAAACTCATCATGAAGAACAGTTGAATTAGCAATTAAATGAATCCAATCAATAGCTAGAGAGAGAGAGAGAGCAAATAATAATGTTCTTAAATAATAAACATTAAGTTACCTAATGTTGGAACTTCTGCAATAAATATTCGTCTTAATGCATTGGCCATACTGGAGAGAAGGAAAGAGTATATTTACGTTGCAATAGGCTAACCTCAGGTCAGTTCTTTCGATGATGAATTTGACATTCTCGTCAGTTATTTCAGAAACTTTTACCAAAGGATTTTTGGCATAAGGCATTTTACTTTTAGACACACCCACAAACTTATTAATTTAAGTTATTAAATCCAGTTATTGAAACCACACCGACCAGTTTATTAATAATTTTTAAGCAGCAAAAAGTGAGTTCTCTCACATTCCTTAATTGCAATGAATGATGATAAATTATTTTCAGGTTATATATTGATGGACATCACTTCATTAGTTACTCCTCTTCAAAGGAAACTGACCTGTCTGGACTATCACAGTCCATCGGCATCGTTTACTGACCACGCCCAACTTAAGTCCCTGGTGATCTGGCTGGAAGATCAAAAGATTCGTCACTACACAATCGATGAAAGGACACCTCTTCGCGATGAGACGGGCGATAATTGGAATAAGGTTTTTGAAAAGTATTTGACTGACATGCAGTGTCCGTTTTCTTTTGACTCCGCCCCCACACCTTGTCTTCACTGGTTAATTGATGAAGCTGTGAGGTGTGAATTTACAGACGTTTCAAAATCTCACAAAAGTCTTTGCTCCGGACTTTGCCGTCGTGATAACAAGAAACCCAATGGAGCGTTGCCCAATGCCGCCCTCAACATCAGTTCATCTGATCCAGTTCTTAAGAGAGGCGTTGAAGCTCTTGCAAAAATACTTCAAATAACATCACACGTGGATCCTACTGTACTCCTGGCTGCATGCCGTCTAGTGATTGAAGAGAAGCTCTCAGAGGAGGCACTTAAGAGAGCAAAAGATGAAGCAGACAAGGGCAGTTCTCCTTCTTCTAGGAAGCCAACTCATCACGACATCAGTCCTAAGCAGTGTGGGTTCGATTTGGGGGATCCAGTACTTGGAGAGGCTGCAAAGGTTCTGAGATTGCTCCACATTAGAGAGCTGAGAGAGCTCCAGACAAAGATTAACGAACTGATAGTCGCTATACAAAATATCACAGCTGATCCTAAAACTGATTCATCTCTTGGCAAAGTAGGGAGATGAGGAGTGACAAAGGACATGATTAGCCGACAGTTCTTTGTATTAACTAACAGTGTACTATGTGAATCCTGATTTTTATTATTAATATGTTCAATGACATGATGATTTAATTAGTACCTAATAAATTATTTTGAATTCTATTGTTTCATAGTCTTTGCAAAGCAGCTGCATTCTGTATGTGCAGTGATATCGTTCCTAGTGGATCTGCTTTATATTTCGGATGAGAAAGGACTTGCTGAAACACTTCTCTCTCTTGGTACCTAAAGCATTTACATGTACATTATATTACAATGAGTTACATACGCTGTATTTTGCTTCTTATTTTTCTTTCCTTTTTTATTCCTAAAGAAATGCATTTAAATTTGCTTGGACTCTTAGTTCTTACTTTGGTGCTGTGGTAGATCCTCTTGCAGCGTTTGTATCTAAGTCAACGTCAGGCAGAGCTGACAGTAATGGCCGAAGATCACCAACAACTGGGGTCTTCCTTCTTTTCAATGTTGCTTTAGCTAGTTCCCTTGCTTTATAACATGCATTTATCTCTAATAATAATAATAATTAAATAAACAAATGAACTCTCATTACTTTTCATCCATTTCTCATGTCGTTGCTTCCTTTTGTCTTTCTTCTTCATTTTCACACTTCCTCCATTTAATGTGTCCTCTACCTTACTTCCTTCACTAGTGTCATCAGTCAGCCCCACAAAAGGTGTCTTGTTCATAAACTCATCAGGAATAGGAGCAACGGGAGGGGGAGTCAAGGCAGTACTGGTATTGACTGAGGTGTTAATGGCCTCCAGAAGTGGAATTGTCTAGAATTTCTATTTAAGTTTGATCAAATTTTGAATGTCTTACTGTTTCATCCGTTCCCTCGTTATCTTTCAACTTTAGCTTTGGTGCAGAAATATGAAACTTGGTCCTTTTTCTCTTGAGCTTGAGTGACATCTTTTTGGGTGGGGCTAATCTCAACTAGATAGGCTAGTTATTAAAATCATAAAAATTAATATTAATTAATTTCTTGTACTAACTAAATATAATAAAATTTTAATTGCTGAAATAAATTGAACATAGATGAAAAAGATTATTTTGTGTAGTGTAAACAAGAAAATGACGAGGAAAAGAATGAGCGTGATCAATGTGAACTGGATGTAGAGCTAGAATTAGAAGTGGGAGGAGGAGGAGGGTTCACATCATATAGATCAGCCACTCCTTCCTGGTCGTCAAGATGAAAGAGAAAATCTTTATCAGTTGGAGCAGGAGATAAAGAAAGGACAGGAGCATTTCCTAATGAGAAAATGATTGAAATAATATGAATGAAAATGTAATGCAGGATTTGGGAATGATTTCAATGTCAAAAGCACCTCAATGACAAACATTTTTAAAATTAATAATGTTCAATAATGTAAATACATCTCAATTCCCAAGTCATTAAGACCAAAGGCCTTTCTACCTTCTAATGCTCATTGAGCTGGTCATTCAATAGTATAGGCACCATAATATAACCAATGGCAGCTGGATCAGAAATACTATCAAAATATACGAGATCTTTAAGATAGTGTGGAGTCACTTGGGTGTTCAAAGCATTATACTTGAAGCAGAAAGTTTGCAAATTACCACCAGCCAAAGTGCGTACTGTACACATGCACACACTTGATGCACAATACATACTATAATTACTATTGTAGACTTACTGTGTGACTCTATTAGTTCTCTTATGATTTCATTATTACTAAGACCTAATATTCCATCATCCTCGAAACCAACTGACTCGTGTCTATCCATATCTTCTACAAGTTCTTCAATAGGGATGGTATCATTAGTCATTGTTTCTAGTCTTGGTGTTTTAATTGGTAATTCCTCGCCCATTCCTCTCTCTTCTTCTTCAGACTGTGATGAGTGTTGCCTTTTATTATTAGTTCTGTTTGCTGTCCCTTCGTTCCCTCCTATTACAAGTACACTAACTGGTCCACTTTTGCTTTTTATTTGCATACAATAAAGTCCATCTGGGTGCTATATGTGTGTATGTGTACAAATTATTTATATTGGAAAGCAGCATGATTTATATGTGATTTACAATGATCACTTACAGTTGTTGGTGTATCTACAGTGATCAATGTGTCCGATGGTGCTTGAATTGCCAGCATTGTAGCTTCTAAAAATAGACATCATCATTATTATAATGCTGATTATGCTATACTTTTAAAGCATGGTATGCTTCTTATGTCTTCATAAGTAACAAATGCTAAAGTATTGAAGAAGTTAAGGAGAATAATGACATGCATAGAGAGAGAGAGAGAGAGAGAGAATGTAAAAAGGATCAAAGGATATCTATTGCTTCCAGGATCCTCAACAATATTCTTTAGACATTGCTTGATCTTGGCACACTGCTTGTCAAGTTTGCTCTCACTCTCCTCCATCTTTTGCTTCTTCTCCTTTAGTCCCTGAACCTTCATTTGCATATCTAGCGTATCGCCAAAATCAGTTGCTCCCCTAAAGTACAACAAAAAATTATTTAAAATAATAAATCAAATCATGGCAATGAGTGTGATTTGTTAAAGTGTGGCCGTGGCTTACTTCCACTTGATGCTGTTCTTGGATTCTTTTTCAATTAATCCGATTCCTTCAAGGACATTTGTGATATCATAGATTCGTCTTTTCTGCTTTACTTCAAGATAATCTACAGCCTAGGCAACATCATGTACACATAAAACTTTATCAAGAAACGAAAATAATTTTGTACTAAAAATTGCATTAGTATCGTAATGAGACCAAACAAGCATAGCCCAGTACTTATATGATTATAAAAAGATGTATATTTATTATAAATACACTAAAATAACATTTAATCATGCTTCACTTTTTTCAAATCCAGTATCCCTCCTTCAGCAGTCTGAAGGAGCTCCACAAATTTGGAAGTTAGGAGTCCAAGAGATTTCTCGTGTCTTCCTTGTAAGGGAGGAGGAGATGCCCTGTCCTCTGAGTCAGACATTGAACAGGGAGAGAAGAAAAAATGATGGAGGACTTTCAAATGTTTGCTGGATGGGTGTGGTCGCCACGCCTCAGATACCACGCCTATTCAAACACGTGCACGCACAATGGCGACCAGGAGACTGCCTCCCAAACTCTTCGTCGTTACTCTTCGACGGAGTTTCATTGGAAGACCTTGGTGGACTCGTGAGACTCTGAAAGGACTTGGTTTCAGGAAAAGGTGGCAGAAGATCATTTGTAAGAACACACCCTCTGTGGTGGGGCAATTAAGAGAGGTGAAGGATATGATAGACGTGAAACCTGTTGTGTTAAGAACTGATATCAAAAACTCACCGACTGGTAAAGAAATATTACTGGACAATGGAGAATTTTTCATTTCACCAGAGACACTAGAGGAACTGACAAATGATGTTAAATTGAAACTAAAGTGAGAGACTTTATACTCTGTTATTATTATGCTTGCCCACAGTTCAGTCAGCACTCCTTCTCATCATGTCATAGTTGGCGTGTGTTAATATTGTGGTATATTAATGGCTATTGATGCTCAGTGGGTGTAGTTTTGTTTTAAGGCTTCCTCCATGTTATAGCATCACCCCACTGCATTCTGAGAGTTGGTACTGTACCTGTTTCTATTCTGACAGTATCATAGAATGATATGCTGATATTTTTATTATTTACTATGTTTTGCTGATTATTAAAGGTTTCTCTTTGTAGCTCGTCTACTTAAGGGATGGTGAGATACACAGAAGACAATAAGCTGATTTCTTATCATAATGAAGTTACTATCGAACTTTATGTATTCAGAATTTTTTATGTATTCAGAAGAATATTAAAAATTAGAAATTTCTACAAAACAATACATTATCATGAGTGTTCTAAGTTTTGTTGTTTCCTACAGTAAACTCTGCAGTCATTTTTTGCTCAATCCTTTAGCTGCTCCAGTGTCAAGATACCAGTGTAACTCACCACCTGTGGGCTTAACCATACCAGCTGGTAGTGTTGGCTCTCCCTCCGGCTCTAGTGAATCCTTTACTGCCTTTGCCTTCCCTTCCCCTGCAGCAACAAAGAAGACATTGCGTGCGTTATTCAGAACCGGTAGAGTGAGAGTGATCCGCGATGGGGGTGGCTTGGGGCTGTCCGACAAAGAAGCAACAATCTTTTCTTTCTCTTTGAGTAGAGGGTGGGAAGGAAAGAGAGAGCATGTGTGCCCATCATCGCCCATTCCAAGCAAGAGAAGGTCAAAGGAAGGGACAGCGTCTTTGGGATAGACTCGTCTTATTTTATCAGTGTAATCAGAGGCAGCCTCTTCAACGGTTGCAAGGCATGGATTGATGGTGATGGTTTTCTCTGGTAAGAGGAATACGTGATTGAAGAGGTCTCTCTTGTACACAGAATAGGTACTCTCTTTATCAGCAAACGGTACAAACCTCTCATCACAGAAGAACACATACCATCTGGGCCAATCTATATCAGTTCTGTCCCTCAGTCCATTTGAAAGGTATTTGGTAAGACTACCACCTGATAGTCCAACACTGAACATTCCTCTTTCCTTAATGCATGAAGCGGCTATCTGGACAACCCGGTCGCAGACTGCTTGCTGTATCTCTGCTCCTGAGCTTAGGACGTGTATTTTGGTCTCTTGAACGCCGGCCATCACTTCTTTTCGGGAGAAAATACCTGCAATGAAAGAAACGAAAATGTAAGGGCTGAGCTGCAGAATAAAAAGGGGTGGAGCTCAAAGTTTTATATGGGTGGGGCTAGATTAAATTAATTTTAACCCTTTAGTGTGGTATCTAAGTTTTCAAACAACAATGGCAAATGCGGAAGAATTGAAACTAGAGTAAGAGCTCATAATCCTCTCCCTTTTCGTTTTTACCAACAGTCAATTAGGCTACTAGCAGAAGAGAAGTACCATGAAGAGCGGATAGGTCATGTGGAGAGGAATTTTGCTGCCATCTCAGTTTCTATGAGTGGAATAGCCAGGAAAACAGCACTGATGAGAGACAAAGGAGACAAACTAACACAAACACTGAAAGTAAACTCTAATGCATTAACAAAAGAATTCAATATCACATTATAATATTTCAGCCATCTTAATATTGTGTTGTAGCTCTACTCCAAAATGATCATTGTTGTGCATTCTTCAGCAAGCATCACTGGCTCATGATAGGATAAATGCATGAGCTCACTCAAGAATGCAATCCCAATTTAAAAATAGCTAGCATTGATGAGCAAAGTTTATCATTGATAAATAAATACATTTAAAATTCTGTACTCTAGAAAATAAAAAAATTTTGAAAGTTGACCGACTATTCACTAAAATGGATAAAAAATTGGGCCAATGACCATGTACTAAATTTTGCAAAAATTAAAAGGAGAGAATTCAAATTTTTTATAATATTAAAAATGCATATACATGTTCTTATGTTGTGTAGAAACTTTGAGCTGATTACAATCAAATTTGAATTTTTTACAAATTTTCGAAGTTACTCAAAAATCGGGCCAAAATCCCTGTACTATAGTACAGGGATTTTGGCCAAATTTCGCTAAAAATGAAAAGGAGGAAATTCTTTATTTTTATAATTTTTTCTGATGCATATACATGTACTTATGTTGTGTAAAAACTTTGAGCTGATTACAATCAAATTTAATTTTTTTACAAATTTTTAAAGTTGCTCAAAAATCGGGCCAAAATCCCTGTACTATAGTACAGGGATTTCGGCCAAATTTCGCAAAAAAATGAAAAGGAGGAAATTTCTTATTTTTATAATTTTTTCCGATGCATATACATGTACTTATGTTGTTTAGAAAGTTTGAGCTGATTCAGATCAAATTTGAATTTTTTTTGATTTTTTAATTTGCCATGTACTATATAGTTCACCAAAAAAATTTCAACCTCAGGTGAATTGCCAGTGTTTTGTGACCACATGCATGTACATGCAAAAAGCAATCAGTACTTTTCTCACTAGACAATGGCTGTTGGAGAGACAGGTCAATTGAAGGCATCACTTGAAAATGTGTCAGAATGTGTTGGTGCACTTGAGGACTACCGACAGACAGAAGTGAGCTCTACATCCTTTAGCTATAATCATATACTTAATACTCCTCCTAAAGCTCGACAGACTTGAAGCAAAAGTCGTAAAACCATTTCTAGAGTATGATAATGTATGCAGGAAAGCAAAGGTAAAGGTTACAGTTCATGTATACCACTAGTAGTTCTGATATTGCTACTTACAGGAAGAATTGAAAGCTTGTAATGCTGACAGAGAAAAGGTCATTAATCAACAACGTATGCTGGACAGGACGAGAATTAGAGAACCAACCAATACAAGAAAACTTGTATCCTCCTTATATTATCAAAAAGAGTAGACTATACTAATATCATTTATTCACTTCTTGATCCATTGATTATAGTACCTTAACTGATAATTTTCCCAGACTCAGGTGACTGTCGTAATCTTTCTCTCCCTCTCTCTACCTCCCTTCTATCCATCCTCTCTATTTCTTAATCCCATTTCTCTTGTGTAGTTGGAAACCAACCTACAAAAGGCCAAATTCAAGCGGAACCAGTCAACAAAAACATTGGAGGAGCACATGAGCGGGTTTGAAAAGAGAAGAGTCAGAGACTTGAAGGTTACACCACAAAAAATAATTACACAATATAAGCTACCCATGCAATCAATCATGCCACAAGTCATATATTCTTCTTAACATGCAGGATATCCTACAAGAATACATACATACTGAAATGTTGTTCCATGCTAAAGCTCTTGAGCTCTTAACTCTTTCCTATCAACATATTGATCACATCAATGAGGATGAAGCACTAGAGGTACAATAATATCCATCCTCCTCACACTTCTTCACCACCATTAGGCATATTTGAATAACCTCCAGGTTCGCAGAAGAAGAGGTTTATTGGAAGAACCTTATCCAACGTCTGAGACTCCAACTCATGGAACACCTCCTTTACATCGCCATACTCCCCCTCACCATCAACGCACCACCTCAGAACCCTCTCTCAGTACAAAATCTTAAGAACTATCTACACTCGAACTAATAATAAATACATGCACACATTAGTATTACTAAATTTACTATTAATAGTAAACTACAATTCACAACCTGTTTTACAACTTTGCTTGGCATGCAACTGAGCCACAATATCATAAAGCACTTTGATAGCATAACCTCCAAATCTCCAAACAAAACAAGTGCCTGCCGTAACAATAACAAAAAATTATACTACAAACTTTTTGAAAGACAAAAAGAGACAAACCATGAAGGAGAAACAGAATGTAAAAATTAACAGTCTTTGTCTTCCTTTGGCCTTTTCTTCCCTTCAGTTGATTAGGCTCAAGTCAACGTAAGTGTTTTTCAAGAGACGTTTGTTCATGTCATGCAGTGCAGCCAACGCAATCCTCTCCGATGGAAATGTAACAAAAGCTCTACCATTGGGAGTCCCATCATCAAAACACTGCATCCTAACAAACTCGTATTCCACTCCATAATTCCTGAAGAATCCAACAATATCCGTAATGGTAGCAGAAGAGGAGAGACCTTCAACTCGAAGCGTCTTCCTATCACGCGAGGAGGATGAAGGAGTACCACTAGAAGCAAGAGATAATCCACTACTACCGTAATGGCCACCTCCTCCCCGACTGCTGCTACTGCTACTAGAAGTAATGTAAGGGAAATGATCATGATCAAATTCCCTTCTAGTCTCTCTCACCCTCTCACTCCCTCCTCTACTACTAAATTGACTCCGACGGCCCAATGGAGGCTCAGAGGGAGGGAAATGATCACTGTGGCGATACTCCCTCACCCACCTATCATGATGGTACTCTCCTTCCATGTACCGACTCTCCCTCCCTCTTCCGTTCCCTCGGTGTTCATCCCGGTATCCGCCATAATCCCCTTCCCTTGAAGAATGCCTGTACCCGCCAATATCCGAGTCTTCAAAGCGATCACTCTCAGGTCTCTCTCTCCTTCCGCTCCCGGCAACAGGACGAGTAGCATCCATCATGTAAGGTTTCATATCGGAGACCTCAGCCTCCGAGCAAGGTTCTATAGTGATTCTATGCATTCCTTTGTATAATCCACCACTGCGTCTTAGAGCTTTCTTTAGTTCGTCAGAGTTTCCAAACTCGATGTACCCATCACCACGGAACCGGTCATCCTCACCTCTGAAGAGGTGAACGCAACTCTTACCAATAAGGCATCCATCGAAGAACTGCCTCACACCTTTGTACAGAGTATCCTGAGGAAAACCTCTCACGTATGCAAAACGTGTCCGTACATGCATTGGTTTAAAGGAAGGAGGTGGAGGAGACCTTGAACGATCTCTACTGTAGCCCTCCCTGCCATCCGAGTACCTTCCACCTCTGCCACTCATCCTGCGTCCTTTCTCAACACTACGAGGAGGAGGGAGGGGAGGACGACCACTCCCTACAGGAGCGTCACTGTTACACATTCGATGAAGCTCGGTCCTTGCTATCCCAGAAATAGAAGCATCTCTTATCTGCTCTAACTTCTCCTCACTGATTTCCATCACGTCGATATACCTATCTCCAATATGATTCTGGTCCATAAGCAGTGCAAGCTTCACATCGTCCCGACTCCTTAGCTTCACGTGTGCGATACCAGAGAAGCGACCATTAAACATGTGTACCATTTCCACGCTGTTCTTATAAAGGTTGATTGCATTAAAGAATTGCATTATGTCGTCAGTAGAACAGTCGTACGGAAGACCCCTCAGCAACACACCGTAGCTCATCTTCCTTTAATTTCCTTTATCCTTTTTCCCTGTGTTTGTATAATACAGTAATTATTATCACATGCAAGGCCATTATACATGTACATTGACTATCTATCTACAATAAAGTAAGTGAATATTAATCTTCAATGCCTTATTTCCTTCCAAATTAAGGACAAATACCTCAAACTGCACAGATACCAAACCCTTTACTCCAAGCTACCTTCAAAAAAGGTTCAAAACTTCCTATACATACATACCCCTCACCCTCCACTCTCTCTATCTATACCTTTAAAATGAAGAGCTCTTTAATGTCTAGTTGCCTAAAGTACAGATAAGTTAGAGAGAGTAACAGAATATATTTATTTACCAGAAATGCTGTTTATGCTTTACTAGTTACTACTTATGCCCTTCCCCCTGAAAGCTTTAGCTACTATTGAGCATGCGCATTTGAACGAGGTGGGACCCTGCACCCACGTGGAACCATTTTAGTCCTATTTTTCTTGTTTTTCGCCCAATCATGATGATTCGTTCATTGTTAAGAAGAGCTTTTATCACTAGGAGTAGTGCAAGGACGATCTCTTCAGCCCCAGAGGCTAATACAGTTTGTGTATTGGGTAAAGAATACAAGAGAGACGACATGACAAACGTGACGCCATCTTTATTGGAAAAAGTTGGCCGGGAACTGCACAACACAAAGGATCATCCTATTAATCTTCTCAAAAAACTAATTGTTCATCATTTTCACAAGACATACATTAACACTGCAGGAAACCCACTATTCACCAGCATTGAGAACATACCCCCAGTCGTCACAACTGAGCAAAACTTTGATTCGTTATGTGTAAGTAGTAGATTTGAAAGTTGCTAAAAAAATCGGGGCAAAGTTCCTTGGGCCAAAATTAAAAAGGAGAGAATCTTTCTCCATTTTTATAATTTTACCTGATCCATATACATGTTTTGATGTTATGTAGAAAGCTTGAGCTGGTTCCAATCAAGATTAATTTTTTTTACAAATTTTTAAAGTTGCTTAAAAATTGGGCCAAAGTCCCTGTACTATAGTACAGGGATTTTTGCCAAATTTCATCAAAAATGAAAAGTAGAGAATTCTCCATTTTTATATTTTTTTCTGATACATATACATGTTCTTATGTTGTGTAGACAGTTTGAACAGATTCCGATCGAAATTAGATTTTTTATGAATTTTTAAAGTTGCTTAAAAATTGGGCCAAAGTCCCTGTACTATAGTACAGGGATTTTGGCCAAATTTCGTCAAAAATGAAAAGTAGAGAATTCTCCATTTTTATAATTTTTTCTGATACATATACATGTTCTTATGTTGTGTAGAAAGTTTTGAACTGATTCCGATCAAAATTAAATTTTTTATGAATTTTTAAAGTTGCTCAAAAATTGGGCCAAGAACCATGTACTTTATATAGGGTGTTTAACAACAAATGACTAGGAGAGAATTTAAATATTTAAGTTACTTTATGCTTTTTAGCTCACGTAGCATGCAAAACTATTTTAATTAGTATTACTTAAAGTAATATCTTCCTTTTTTAAAGGTTGCTAAAGATCACATTTCAAGGAGCCGTAGTGATTCCTATTACATTAATTCTGAGACCATGCTACGGACTCATACTTCGGCCCACCAAAGGGACTTTATTAAAATGGGTCTTGACCGGTTCCTTGTGACTGGGGATGTGTATCGTCGCGATGAGATAGATTCAACACACTATCCGGTCTTTCATCAGATGGAGGGAGTCAGAGTCTACTTAAAACAAAATTTGCTTCCCCGAAGTAAGACCATGTTTGAAGACGGAGAGGAGACAGATGAGAAACAGAGCAGACATACTCTAGAGACATCTAAAGCTCTTGAATTAGAACTCAAAACGACACTAGAGAGACTAGTAAAGTATATATTCGGAGAAGAGACACAAACAAGATGGAACAGCTGCTATTTCCCTTTTACTCATCCTTCATTTGAGCTCGAGATTCTATTTAGAGGAGAGTGGGTGGAGATGTTGGGCTCTGGCATAATGAGACAAGAGATCTTGGATGATGCGGGAGCTTCTTTTAAGACTGGATGGGCATTTGGATTGGGTTTGGATAGACTCTCAATGCTACTCTTCAGTATTCCTGATATACGATTACTATGGAGTAAAGATGAGAGGTTCATTGATCAATTTAAGCATATAACACTGCCTATGTTAACAAAAGAGAACTTGAATAAGAAAGACTTATCTTTCAAACCCTTCAGCACATTTCTTCCTCGTTGTGAAGACGTGGCTTTTTGGATCACGCCCGAGTTTAACGAGAATGATTTCCACGAACTGGTCCGTGCTACTTGTGGTGATATTGTTGAGAAGGTTGAACTCATTGATTCGTTTGAGAATAGTAAAACTGGTAAAGTTAGTCGCTGCTACAGGTTGGTGTATCGCTCAATGGATAGGGCTGTAACCAAAGATGAAGTGGATGAACTTCACTCGAAACTTAGGGAGAACATAGAGAAATTATTACCTGTAGAACTGAGATAAGATATGCATGTATATAAAGGTTTTTTGATACTAATAATTTGCTGATAATAATAATACTTAAAAATTGAAAGCAGAACATTGTCATTATCATCACTATGCACCTTTTAGCAACAGAATCTTTGATTTGTACAACTAGTTGGCAACTTAGTTGCAAGTGAATGGCCAAGATTGGCTGTCAAGTTATAATCAAGTTACACTTGTGCTTTATTCTTTTAATAGGGACATTGTAACATTGTATTTAGTACAATGTAGCTTTAGTCAACTTCATTCTTAGGGGAGTATTAGTCTGACGGATTGTTCCTGCTAAGTTGTATACATTATATATCTGATATGTCTCCTATATTTCTTTTTGCTTCACTTCTTGTTGTAGCATATGCTCAACACCCTCTACCAGATGTTTATACTGCAGAGGAAACTTGTGAATGTGCCAAGAAACTGAACAAGGCACTTGTTGATTCACTCAAGGGATGTGTTGAAGCAACCGATGCTTTAATGAACTGTGAGGAAGGGAAGGCCTTGCCTCCAGTGAATATTGAGTGGATGCTGCAAGTAAAGATGGAAGCTGATTCATGCTCCTGCGCTAAGAAAGTCACTAAACCGTTGACGGAGTCACTTGATGGCTGCATTGATGCTGTGAAGCAGATCCATGAGTGCAACAATCCTGCTTGAATAATACTATATTGATAATAATATCTCATTCGTCTTGCTCACTTATTGAGCAAGTACTAATAATCTTATCTTATTTAATAACATCAAGTTATTTAAATATTATAACTACAAGTGCAGGTCAACATAACGTCTTCCAATGTATTCGCGATCTAGCTTCTTTACAGCATCCACAGCGTCACTACGTGACTGGAAACCAACAAAAGCTATACCCACAGACCTATTCGTACCATCATAAACAATATTAATATTACTAGCTGGGACCTAAGAGAGAGAGAGAGAGAGTAAAATGAATTAAAGGTACACACATTTTTGCTAACGTTAAATTCAACAAAGAAATTGACCAGATCCGTGACATTGGCTGAAAATGGTAGCCCGCCCGCTTTAATAATGGTTAGTGGGGTTAATCGATTTAATTTCTTGTCATCAATGCTCTCCGTACTCTTGATATTGTCTCTCTTCATCCTTGCCACTTGATATTTGGCATAATAATTGGAGCACTAAGAGAAAAGAGTAGATTTCTTTATAGCTTATGGGATAAGATGGGCTCATACTGGAATTAAATCAACATAGCGATTGCCAAGATAATGTCTATTGAGCATCCCTACAGCATTTTGAACTGACGCTGCATCAGTCATATGTACTATGCACTGACCAGTGGATTGACCCTAAAAAATAACAAGGACAAAATATTATCTGACATGATTATAATGTACATGTACATACTCACAAATTTATCATAGAGTAAGTGTATACCATCTTCCACTATATTTGAACTCAAGTCGCCGAAAAATGCAGTAACCTTGTCAACTGTTGTCTCCCATGGGATCCCTTTCAGGAGGAGACAGTTCTGAATCACTCCTTGGTTTACACTCTCTCCCTCTGCTTCTCCAGAAGGTGTTGCAGTGCTACAGTCTCTCTGCAAAATACAATACATGCCACAATAGTCAGTAGTACTACTTTGTAAAGCTATTTTTTGTCAAAAAATACAACTTTTTGTAAAAAAAACAAATTAATTAAAAATAAATTTTATTGTATAAAAAATATAAGAAATCTGAACATTGGGCGAACAAAAAAAAATATCAAAATGATGAAAATGCAGCTGTTGGATTAGTGAAAACAGACTGAAAAGGTAATATAAAATATGATGCAGATTAAGCCAACGTGGTCTTGTAAACAATGCCGTAATTATCAAAGCTCGAATAACAAAAAAATTGGCAAAACCTGATACAAATGTAGTACTAACATTACTACTTAAAATGTGTAGTCTACCAAAATATAAAAAATTAAATCCACTCGAAGATTATAATCTTACTTTAAGTCCTCTATTGCTGAAGTTTACAAGCCTATAATTACTGACTGGGGAGCTGCTAACTCTTTTTAGGGAACTTGGTTTATCTAACAAAAAAATGGCGGTGCATCATGTGACTCCTTTACTACACTCCTTTACCTAATGCCCATAAATTATTAGCCTCTGGGGCAGTGGACATCATCCTTGCACTACTGCTAATGATGAAAGCTCTTCTTAACAATGAACGATACATGATGATCAAGAGTATGATGACGAAAGAGAGAGAGGATCAAGTTGGTTGTGTAACACGTGTCGAGCTGTAGTATAGTAATGTAGTTCACCACACCTCGTCCTCGTGTCACTTCCTAATAATTGCATTTCTCAAGTTAGCATAATTAATTTTTTATTTTAAGAGAAGAAATAATAATTAATACTTTCAATAGAACTGCATTTTTAGAAATAAGAATAATATTAATAATAATTTAATAATTCTTTACAACCTAAAAATTACAAAACAATAATTATCCACAAGGATAAAGAAGGGGGGGGGGAATCTCAAGACAAAAAAAAACATAAAAACATAACTAGTAGAGTTACAGTGCAGCTGCTGTAGGAGGGGAATGGAAGAGGGCACTATTGATTGAGGGAGAGCTCTATATAACGATGGCCAATGTATTTATGATTGAGGTCCCTGACGGCTTGACGGGCATCATTAAGAGATTGGAAGTTGATGTAAGCAACCCCAGTTGATCTACCATTATGATTGTATATGAGTTCAATATCACTCTCATCAACCTGGAGTGATGGATGGAATATTAATAAGACGGAAATATTAATAAGATTAGGATTGTATTGTACACTATTGTATACATGTACATGTATTGCCTATTGATACTACAATTACACAAATACAATCTACACACATATTTTGATATATAATATACTCACATTGAAATCAGCAAAGAAGTCCACAAGGTCATACTCTTTAGTATTAAAAGGTAGTCCACGTGCTTTGACGACGGCACTTGAAACCTTCTTTCTTTTATTTCCTCCACCTCCTCCATAATAGGCGTGGCCACCACCAGGGCGGCTACCACCTCCGGTATCCATTAAAGCATACGTCACGTCATTACCAGAAACCTAAGGATCGAGTGATTAGGTGAACATTCGTCAGCAGAAATAAATAGCTCGCATACTTGAAAAACTTCAATGTAGCGACGACCAATGTTTTGCCTATGCAGTTCGTTGGCAGCTCTGGTAGCTGCATCCACTGATGTCATTTGAACAAAACAATCACCAGTTGGACGACTCTATAAAAATAAATAAATAATAATACAAAGCATACAGAAATAAATACTCTAATGTAAAGAATGATGATGTGCAGTTACCATACAAAATTTCTGATTAAAATGTGAGATTGATTTATCTTTACCTGAGCATTCAACACCATGTGAATTCCCTGCTGCTCAATGCTTCTGTTCAAGTCGCCAAAGAAACTGATGACGTCTTCAGGTGTTGCTTCCCAAGGGAGTCCTCTCAGTTTAACACAGTTCTTTTCTGATCCTCCTCTCTTTGATGCACCACCACTCCCTCCTCCTCCTCCTCCCCTACCACCTCCTCCTCCTCCTCCAGACTCGGTATTGAGGTAAGCAAACCTGTCAAGTTGCTCTGGAGTCCCTGACTTATTCAGAACCTACAGAGTGAGGAGTAAATAAGATAACAGTAGCTCTAACTTTAAACATTATTTTTGATCAGAACCAGCTCAAAATTTCTACATTGTCACAAAATCTGACAAGCAAAACCCATTTGTTCTATTGTCACGAAATCCATGACAAGCAAAAACCCATTAGTTTCATTGTCACGAAATCAATGACAAGCAAAAACCCATTTGTTCCACTGTCACAAAATCTGTAACAAGCAAAAATTGCAACACACTCTTACCACTAAGAATTCCTTGAGTGAGCTATGAAACACTTCAATGTATCTGCCCATTAAGTTGTTGCGGTGTTTCTTGAGAGCCTCCTCCACGTGAGCCTCGGATGAGAAGACAGCAAAAGCATCACCAGAAGCTTTACCATCAGGATAACGAACAATTAATATACCGTCAGCTTCATTACTGACCGGAGCCTCTGGTTGAAAGAACTCCATCTAAAAAGAAAGAAAAATAGAAACAAGTAAACTAGAAAGTGAAGAAAAAAACAAGGCACTAGGCTTACAATGTCAGACTCGGTAGCTCTATAAGGTAATCCTTGCATACGAACTGTGAATACCTTCTCACTGGATCCAGTGGTATCACCTGTGATATGAAGAGGTGATCAAAATGACAGTGAATCGTTAATATTACATGTACTTGTACTTACAGAATTGAAAGAAATTATCAGGGCTGGCTTCATAAACCTAATGCACATTATAAAGAACAAGCAATAACATAAAAACAAATAAAGGATGTAAAATAATTATCATAAAACATGCATTTTGAACCATACCTCAACGTATCTTTGGTGTAGGTAATGTCTGTCCCTTTGAAGGGCAAATTGTGCCTGATCCTCACCCTCAAGGACAACAATGGCTTCACCAGTTCTCCTTCCGACAGGATTAATACTAAAAACCACTCCACCACTGCAAACAGAAACAAAGACAGGTATTAAAAATGAAGAGTTACATTTATTAATTATTTACGGGATGATATTGAGTCCAGACAAGAATAAAGCAATGTCATTATGATCAGCAGAGAAAGGGAGACCCCTCAGCCTCACAACACAACCATCACACACATTATCAGGACTGCATGAGAACAAAAGAGAAGAGATAAATCCACCAAATTAAAAAAAAAAAAAACAAAACTGCCCACACTCACTTGACTTGATTGGTATGAGAATAACTTTGCTGAACTGTCTCGGGCGACTCAAAAACATGACCTTATGTGAGAGATAGATAGAGGTGAAGATATTGAATAGGTTAGGCTACCTTGTACTAGCATCTTCTGAGCTGCTTTAGCCATTATTGGAATCTCTTCAGCACCTGACACATCATTGGGAGGGCAATCAACTCCAAGACCTTAGATAAAATGATAGTTTAACTTAAAATGTTAAATATAACAGTAGTAGAGTAGAGTAACCATAAAATTCAATAAAGTTGACATATGCTTACATTCACAAAGCTCCACAAGGTTGTGAGGTTGGAACTCGTTGTTTGATCTCTTGGCTAGCTCTTTCTGTAGGTCAAAGAACTGAGAGAGAAAAGAGGGAAGAGGCTCCTGGAGTTTCCTATTTATCTCTGGCACTAGAATCTGACGTAATGCAATTGACCCGTTAGTAGCAAGACAGCAATTAGACTGCTCTGAAAATACAGCTTCAATCTTAAAGAAAGAGATAGAGGGGATACATGTACATTAAGTGTATTCACTTATGTGTACATGTAACATCATGTCAATTTGTACAACATAAATTGGTTTACTTTCTCAAGAGCAGTTGATAAAGGGATACCGTCTTCACTGTTCTGTCCCTTACTCGTGTAACCAGACCCCGAACTATCGGGACACACAACCAACTGACCAACATCACTAGCTAACTATAATGATAATGCATTTATAAGGACATATAATGTTCTAATTAATGCCCGACCTGCATGTTGGCTATATCTAGTACCTGCCAGGCTAGCAGGCATACCTCCTTATCCTCTCCTCCACCACCACCACCACTCTGGTCTCCGTATGCACCCAGTGTGAATAGCAACAAGGACTCGTATTGCCGCTTGGCCATTTTCCCCCACAGTCCCACACACGTGCACAATTGCTCTACAAAAATAAATTAGGCTATCACTAAAAAGTGTATGATAGTCCGCAAATTTTTTGAAAGCACATGCATATCTAAAGTCACGCCCATATAAAACAAAATGGCGTTCAAGAAAACTGAGTTAAACGACTATTGCCAGATGAACAAGATTCCTATGGAAGGATACGATACCAGGCAGACTAGAAACGGATTCGTCAGTTCCCTGAGGTGTGGTAACATTCTGTTCAGGTCCTCGGGGTCTCATCCAACCAAGAAATCAGCTGAAAACGATGTGGCATCAGTTGCACTTAGGGAACTTAGGTCACGTGATCCTGTCGATCCAAAATCGGGCCAGGTATCTGAAGCAATCGATAAAACTGAAGATTTTGCAGCAAAAGCTAATCAAAATTTTGGTCCGACTCCTGCTCAATATTTTCCTCCTTCACCCAATAAAAATTTTGGAGCGATGCCTCAAATTCCATCACCTGTGAAAGCCACAGTACCATGTACTGCTGTTCCAACTGGCTTAAAATCTGACTACGAGAGAGTGAATCAACTATTAATACGTTATTGTCATTTAAACCAAATCCCAATTTGGCACAAAGTATCAAACAATGGCAGCAATAGACACAATGCTATGGTAAGGATCGGTGATAAAGAATACGCTGATCCTAATGAGCACCCAAGCTTTGATGAAGCAAAACATTCCGTTAACATGCTAGCAATGAAAGAATTGAGAGTTGAAGAGTTTCTGAGACAAGCAGCTGCTGGCCAAATGCCACCAGTAATGCCTGCACTTCATTACATACAGCAACCTCTTCCTACTAATAACACACATTTGCCAAATAATCCTGGCCCAGTACCTTATTATACTCAACCGGTACTAGCTCCTACTAGTGTAGGATCTCATCCAGTAGTAGGAGCTACTGCTCACCATCAATATAAAGATAACAGTCCTCCTGTTAATTCATCATCAGAAGGTTTGCTAATATCAAGAGGTGGTAATGATGGAACTTTTGTACATAATCAGCGAGTTCAGTTGGATGGATCTATGGATACTCCAGTTAGTGATAACTCAATTGTTTCTGTTTCCTGGAATCAAGGTGTATTGTTGACTCCTGATGCTTTTATTCAAGCAGCTAATACTAGTAAACCTGTACTGTCTAATCATCAGCAATCTATTGCTAGTAAACCAAATGCATCCACAATCACTCCTACTGTAAATGTCACCTCAAAACCCATTTCATCAATTCCTTCTACTCATTCATCTGTTGTCCCACCTGGTTCTACTGCTCCTCCTCCTCTTCCTCCTGTTACATTACCTTCTCCTACTTCTTTACTGACTATTCCTACATTTCCTGCTTCTCTCCCACTTCCAACTAGAAACAATGCAAAGAAGAAAAGGAACAATGCCGAGAGTCCTACTGAACAATTTAAACCTCCCCTTAATTCTTCCTCCCCATCTTTAATGGCTTCATCTTCTATTCCTCAAGCTTCTAATAATCAAGGAGTCACTTCATTGAACATTGTCCCATCTCACTCTTTCCCTGTCTCTGTACCCTCTCACTCTCCCTCTGTTCCTACAGAGGAAACAGGAGGAGGAGGAACAGTTGAAATGTATTATAAACAAGTGCTCAATGACTATGTTCAAAAACAGAGACTTCCCTTACCTCTTTTCACAACAGAATACCCAGAGAACAGCCTAGGGTATATTGGGATTGTAACACTAGATGGTGTTGAGTATCGATCGCCTCCAGACAAAAATAAAAAGCGAGCACTCAATTTAGCAGCAAGAGAAGCTCTAGTGTCTCATGGTGTTATTAGAGATGCTGAGCCTTCACTGCCTTCAGTACAGAGTAATGTATCATACAAGAATATACTCCAAGAGTATTATCAGAAGAACAAGTACCCAATGCCACAGTACAGTACAGTGGGGGTCGGGAATGGGAAGTTTGTATGCAGTTTAACTTGTACTGTAAGCCATGGATCAAGACAAGTGACCTTTAAAGGGATTGAGTGTACTACAAAGAAGCTAGCGGAACAATCAGCAGCTGAGACAGCATGTATTGCACTGGGATTAAAGAGCTCTTAGCTTTAAAAGGAAAAATTTATTTATTCTTGTATAATACATTATAATAACAACAACAATAATAATAACAATAATTATTAGTCTAAAATTTTGTGATTCTGCTCATTTAATCGTCAATGTTCCATTCATTCTTTTCTTCAACTCCTTGTAGTGGGCGTATCTCAGCCTTGCATATTCAAGGTAATCGAAACCAGTCAGACCAGTTAGGTGAGCCTGCACCAAACTCCACAAGACCCAGAGCAAATGCATCACTAGACAGCCTTTATTGGACTCACAGTATAACTGACACACCTCTTCCTCATTAACCCCTTCATGTAACATACCTAAGTATTAAAATCAATTATTATACATGCAACGAGGAACATTATCATGCTAGTATTTAGCATACAATAGCACATTAATTCTAATTGTTACCTTTGTGTTTATTCCTTTCTTCAAGGTACATTCTAATGAACCATTTCTGTGTCACCTCATTAGGATACTTGCTATAGTCAGGCATGTTCAGTCCAGCCATCTCTCCAAAGAAGTCCCCCAGGTCACAGCAAGTGTAGTTGACTCCTCCATACTCGTGATCAATGAGTATACAGTTGCCAGTTCTCTTGTTGTAAATAATGTTACCATACTGTAAGTCGTTATGACAATAAGCTAGTGGTGACTTAAACGTATTCATTACTCTCACCATCTCTTTCATTTCTCTTTTTAGACTCTCTTTCGATTCAAATGTCGCAAAGACTTTCTCGTTTGTTTCATCGTCATGGAAACGGGTCGGAATGAGGTGATAATACTTTTTGTATGTTGATGGTATTATTGATGTGTCGCCGTGGAAACGACTTGGTAGTTTCATGAGTGTGTGAAATTGTGCGATGGCCGAGGCAGTGCTCCTCATTATGTGTTGGTTTATAATGTCACTGCCATCAAGCGGTCGACCGGGAACATACCCATAGCACAGCCCATTGGTTAATTGAAGGTATAATGGAGGATTCTGTCCAGTGAGTTTATGAGCTACTTGTAGAGTAATGGCTTCTTGTTCTCTGTCAATAAAGAGGTGAGTGTGTCCTCCATTGACTCTTAGGACCACTACGTTACCTGGTTCTTCCTTGTTGGATCCTTCTTGATAGAAGCAGATTAGTAGATCGTTTGATACCCCGAGGTCTTGGCAGCAGTGTAGTGTCTGGAGGTGCTCGGTACTCCAGGATGGTTTAATGACTGGCATTATGACTTCTATGAACGTTTTAGTGATGTCTTGTAGTTCTAGCTTTAGGGGGAGGTATTTCCATGATAAGCACTCTTCCACCTTCTCCTCCATTTTTATTTAGTTATTATAAGCACAATTAGCACATTAAGCAGTTGCACATGCAGCAATTTACAGTAATGAATGTTTATCTAATTGCTCACATCAATTATGCAACCTTTCTTAGACTTACTATTGGACTATTAGATCTACATTATGTCTAAGTAATTGCACTCAATCAATAAACACAGCATGAGCTTATCATGCCCAATATACTACTGAACCTGTATCAGCCCATAATTGGAAGACTGTATTCATGAGTCTTGAAGTGAGACCTATTACTGACAAACAAGTTGATCATATTACATCGTGAATAATACAATTTTAGACACACACATAATATATATATCATTTACATAATAGAGTTTTGTAAAGAAGCTGCTTTAGCTTGTGTAACATCATAAGCAACAGGTTAGATTAATGCTTCATTAATTCTATATGTCATCTTGTATATATTAGAATGGGGAGGTGGAAAGAAGTAATGGTTTGTAGTTTACTAATTCTGCTGTTTAGCTTAATCCACTCAATTGATGCCCAAGGTAAAATAATCTATCATTTTACTCATTTAATTCTTCTGTTAATAGATTGTGATGGAGAAATGTTTTATAATTGTGCAGAACAACAGTGTCAGTCATGTAAGTGGATAATTATATAAAATACCATTTGTAGTATTTCACTTTGTTAGTACAACCCGGTTATGGTTTTCAACTTGATAGAACTTGCTACAACATTATGTATACAACTCCAAATGTTCCTGTGCCTCAAGGAACATATCTCTTCTCTATTGTAATTTTTATTGAAAGTAATGCTACTGGAACAGTTGCTGGTTTTCGTGAAACTCATATAATTGAGTTTAGTGAACCTACTGTATCGGGTTTTAGCCATGTTCTACCTCTAAACCCACCAGCAAATTATATTCATTCAGTTTATGCTGGGCTTACAATTGATGATGAGGAACTAACATATGGCAGTTACAGTACTAATATTAGAGCTATACATCAAAACCCATTTAGATTTGTTTATTATCCAGTTAACATCCAAATCATTGGTAAGTTATGACTATTATTTTGCTAAACATAATTGTATTAAATAGATCCATGTGCTGGTGTCATCTGTGGTCCAAATGGTACCTGTTCTAATGGAGTCTGTATGTGTGATCCAGGCTTCACTGGGTCTGACTGTAATACAACATTTGTTCTTGACCCTTGTGATAGCTCACCCTGTGCCAATGGGAACTGTACTAATGTACCTCCTAATAGTTTCTCATGCAGTTGTGACCCAGGATACACTGGAGACACATGTAATGTAGTGATAGATTATTGTGAAGGAGTTGATTGTGGTAATGGAGACTGCATTAGTACACTAGCTGTTGGTTATACTTGTGAGTGTCAGCCTGGCTACACTGGAGACCACTGTGCCATTAATATTGATGAATGTGATCCTGATCCTTGTGCTAATGGTATATGTACTGATGCTGTGGCTGGATACTCTTGCAGTTGCTTTGAGGACTGGACTGGAACAAACTGTAGCACTGAGATAAACTCTTGCAATCCTAATCCATGTGATATTACTGGATACTTACATTGTATTGATGGCAATGGCACACACATTTGTCATTGTCGTCCTGGTTATACTGATCCTAGTTGTGGTACTGATATTGATGATTGTGATCCTAACCCTTGTAACAACAGTGGGATATGCACTGACAGGATTAATGGATTTGAGTGTTCCTGTGCTTTTGGCTATGATGGTCCAACCTGTGCTGAGATAGTAGACTTTTGTTCACCAGATCCTTGCATCAATGGAACATGTACCAATATTGAAGCAGTCGGTTACTCTTGTTCCTGTTCCTCTGGTTTCACTGGAGTCAACTGCAGCGTGGACATCGATGAGTGTGCTAGTGACCCGTGTCAAAATGGAGCCTCATGCATCAACACTCCAGGAAGCTACCAGTGTGTCTGTCTATTGGATTACACTGGTGATCATTGTGAGACTGTTATCAATGACTGTGAGGGAATGCCTTGTGCCCCTGGCTCTACCTGTATGGATCAGCCTGGTACTTTTAGCTGTTTCTGTGCTCCAGATACAACAGGAAGACTCTGCAATGTAACCATTGATGATTGTGATCATGATGACTGTGTCAATGGTACTTGCATTGATGGTATTGAGAGATTCACTTGTCAGTGTTTCCCTGGATTTGAAGGTGATCTATGTGATCAAGATATTGACGTCTGCCAGACTCAGTCTCCGTGTCAAAATGGCGGTACCTGCACAGATTATGAAGGACTGGATTATGAGTGTAGCTGTCCTCCTGGTTTCTATGGAGTCAACTGCTCAACCGATCACTCAGTATGCAGTGTTATGATGCCTTGTCAAAATGAAGGAACCTGTGAAGATGGTCCAGGGTTTCATTACACATGTCATTGTTCCCCAGGCTATGAAGGCACTAACTGTACTGTTGATGTTAGTGTCTGTAGTACTGAAGAACCTTGTGATAATGATGGTAATTGCACTGATGGTGAGGGCCTATTGTATGAGTGTGACTGTGCTCCTGGCTATACTGACACCAACTGTACAGTTGATATAAGCATTTGCGAAGAAACCTCACCATGTCAAAATGGAGGAACATGTGAAGATGGAGAAGGCCTAGACTACACCTGTGACTGTCCTCCTGGGTATTACGGTCAGGATTGCATGAATGATGTAAGTGTTTGTATGCCATGCCCCACATGCTCAGGCCCTTGTCTGAATGGTGGTAGCTGCACTGATGGAGCAGGATTAAACTATACATGCTCATGTCTACCAGGCTACACTGATGTTAACTGCACTACTGATATTAGCTATTGTAATGAGGCTTCTCCCTGTATGAATGGAGCTGCCTGTGTTGATGGGCCTGGCTTAGCCTACAATTGTGAATGTATTGAAGGATTCAATGGTACTAATTGTGAGAATGATCTTGACTATTGTACCAATACTTACTGTGTCAATGGTACATGTGTAGAAGGTTTTGGAACTAACATCAGTTGTGACTGTATTGTCGATTACACTGGCCCACGTTGTGATGTCCAACTTCTCTTCTGTAATTTGGATATTTGTATGAATGGCGGCTCCTGTAGAGAGATTGCTGGTTCTACTGATACAATGTGCCTGTGTCCCAGTGGGTTCTCTGGGGATATGTGTGAGAATGATGATGATGTTTGTGATCAACCTCCTACGAAATGTATTCACGGGACCTGCTCTGAAGGTATTGGAGATAACTACACCTGTAGCTGTGATTCTGGATACAGTGGCTCAAATTGTGAAATAGATAATGACTACTGTGAGCCTTCGTCCTGTTCTAATGGAGGCCTGTGTGTAGAGGGACCTGGTCTAAACACATCGTGTAATTGTACTGAAGGTTTCACAGGAGATACATGTAACATTGATATAGATTACTGTACTAACACTTATTGTCAGCACAATGGTACATGTATAGAAGGATACGGAGCGAACATTACATGTAACTGTACCAATACCTACACTGGGCCTACTTGTGCTATAGCATTCTGTCCTCAAGGTTACTGTGGCTCTAATGGTAACTGTGTCGTTAATAGCAATATGGCTGTGTGTGAATGTAATCCTGGCTACACTGGTGATTTCTGTGAGACTGATGTTGATGTTTGTGACTCTTCCTCCTGCAATGGACGTGGTACCTGTACTGATGGTCCCGGGCTCAGCTACTCTTGTGACTGTGATTTAGGTTTTTATGGTGACGACTGTGAAAATGACACCAATGTATGCGAGGAACCTTTCGCTTGTGTCCATGGTACCTGTACAGATGGAGTAGGCCTGAATTATACATGTGTGTGTGATCTAGGCTTTAACGGTACCAACTGTAGCATGGATGGATTGTTTTGTAATGAGACTCATTGTCAAAATGGTGGTACTTGTGTTGAGGGTCACGGCATATCTGTGAGTTGTGAATGTCCTGAAGGTTTTACTGGGAGTCGTTGTGAAACTGATATTGAATATTGTACAGGAAGTACCTGTCAAAATGATGGTACATGTGTAGAGGGCTACGGCACATCTGTGAGCTGTGAATGTCCTGAAGGTTTTACTGGTGTTAGTTGTGAAACTGATATTGATGATTATTGTACAGGAAGTACCTGTCAAAATAATGGCACATGTGTAGAGGGCTACGGTACATCTGTGAGTTGTGAATGTCCTGAAGGTTTTGCTGGCGATCATTGTGGAACTGATATTGATTATTGTACAGGAAGTACCTGTCAAAACGGTGGTACATGTATTGAAGGTATTGGGCCAGATTATGAATGCAATTGTCCTGAAACATACAAAGGAGACAGGTGTGAGACACTGTTCTGTCCAGACAACTACTGTGGTCAGTATGGTACTTGTGATGTTGTTGGATCAGAAGTAGAATGCACTTGCACTAACTGCTTTATTGGTGATCGTTGTGAAACAGATATGATTTTCTGTGGGCCAAACTCTTGTAGCAAAAACGGAGTATGTAATGAGCTAGTAGGATGTGGTTTCAATTGTACATGTAAAGAGGATTACACTGGTCAATACTGTCAAACTCCACTTTGTTACGAAGGCTATTGTAACAATAGTGGCAACTGTAGTGTTGTTGGTCCTAACAGAATATGCTCCTGTCCTTCTGGTTTCTCTGGTGATAGGTGTAACATTACTGAATGTGTGGATGGTGTATCGTGTCTCAATGGCGGTACATGCTCTGTTGTTGATAATGTCATCAGTTGTGATTGTCCTTCTGGGTACAGCGGAGACTCATGTGAAACAGATGATTCTGTATGTACACTAACCAATCCTTGTCAAAATGGAGGCACATGTACAGATGGACCCGGATTAAATTACACTTGCTCATGTCTCGAGTCTTTTGAAGGTGATAACTGTACTATCCCTGTACCATGTTCTCCTAATCCTTGTCAAAATGGTGGTGAGTGTGTCCCTGGTAATGGCTCCTCATACACATGCGAATGTCCCGAAAATTTCTCTGGCTCAAACTGTGAAACAATGTTCAATGCTACATGCACTAGTGATAGTGATTGTCCTGATTCAAGCTATTGCTACTATCAGTGTAGCTCAGATAGTTACCCATCGCACTCTTCTCTGATAACAGAGTCAGTTAATCTAAGAGGTGTCTCATTTGTAAATGTGGAAGAGTCAAAATTTCCATCGTTTAGCAACGACTTCTCTCTCTATGCTGTCTTTAGTCAGAATGCTACTAATCGTGGCTACCTTGTTTTTTATGGAACCTCCAGTACCTCGAGAAACTTTGCCGTTTTCCTTGACCACAACAGCTCAAGGCTGTGGTTCTATTACACTGATACAGCTGGTGTCTCAAGGAACTTTAGCATATCGTTGACTTGGAGCAGTAATGAAGTGCATCAACTTGTCATATCATACAATCAAGCAACTAAAATTGCTAATTTCTATTTTGATGGATCGTTGTTATCTGAGGGCGTAAGAACACTAGCAAACCCTGACTTCAGTTATGGGGTAAGTCATGATTATGAATACCTTAATGGGAAATACAATACACAAGAGACTGATCAAATGCACACACACACTCGTAGTTAAAAGCTTCTTGTTCCACCCCCTTCTCACATACACACACACATGCAGTAACACCCATCACTGCTCAGATATCTGATACAGTGTGCAGTGTAATACAATAACTCCAAACATTGTGGGTCAAGTATTGTATTAGATTTCTTTGTACATACTAAAAAGAAGTTAAACAGAGGGCATTAACAAAATTTTAACATTAATACTCTGATAATGTCAATGTAGTGTATATAGTATGCACAATATAAATAGAATGATATGGTCTTTGTAGTATTCACATTTATATTTTATCATTATTGTTTAGGTTGCTTCTACTCCTCCTACAATGTTTATTGGTGCCCGATTGCCTCGCTATTTCCGTTTCATTGGTACAGTACATCAAGTTGTTTTCTTTAAAGAAGCACTCAACTCCACATTTGTATCACAATTAAACAGTGACTATAATGAACTAGTCAGTCCATCTGGTGAGTGTACTCCTTATCTAGAGATTGGAGCTACTTGTCCAGCTCCTACTGTTGCTCCTTCGGCTTTTTGTCAATCATCAATGAGCAAGTAAGAAAGAGAGAGAGAAAGTGAGGGAAATTGAGAGAGAAAATAGGATTAGTATGTAGATATTGATTAAGTTGATGGCTAATCTTTCAATTTTTATTTTAAAGGTGTAGTTCAAATGCTAGATGTCTGCCTGATGTTAACTATCAATATACTTGTCAACCAGCACCAATTTGTATGTTATACTAATTACTAGTAAAATGTGAATTATAATGATATTATTTTTTAGCCTGTACGTCAGATTCAACATGTCAGCCTAACTACTATTGCAGTAGTGGTACAATACCTAATGATAATGGTAATTATTATCAAAACTCCAACGAAGCATTGCCTGGACAGAAAGTGTTTTTACAAGAGAATACTATGCTCTTTTCTGGAGAAAACTTTGCCACTTTAAACACAACAAACATTCTATCAGTTCGCAAAGTCCCAGACCTTGTCTCAGACCTCACCATATTTGCCGTCGTGCATCAAGATTCCGGCAATGATGGATATGTGGTTGGAAAGGGTCTGAATGATAGGATGAGGGACTTTGGTCTTTATCTACGTAGCACAAAGAGTACTGTCTGGTTGGCATATGGATCTGATGATAAAGGTCATGGTTTCCGCGATATTATATTCTTTTATAATATCAATGTTGCTGATGGAAATGAGCACTCAATCACAGCAGTGATTGATAGTTCGGCTAACAGTGCATCTCTTTATATTGATGGAGTATTAAGAGGACACCAGAGTCCATTGCCAGCCACACCAACCTTCAGACCTGATGTAAGTAAACAATGAATATCATGCATAGTAGCAGTTACTATAGAAGTGAAGCATATGAAGTTATGTGAAGTTATAGTTATGTTTATAGTGATTTATAGGTACAGAGTTATGTGAAGCATTTCTATTATTGACATTATATGTTTGCATACAATTCACTCGTTGTTTGTGTGATGATTGTAGCTTTTGTTGTCCATAGTTGTAGCAACTAACCTTATGACTTGTATTTATTCCTGTATTGTATTTAACTACTAGTAGTACAGTAGTAGTATAGAATTATTGATAGTATTATTATATTATCATAGCCTATTGTGTTAGTTCATTGGATGTGATGGGTGGGTGGTATTGCATTGAAGGCGGTTGTCTTTGTTTACTGTGCAGGTGGCTATGAATTAGTTTTACTTAATTTAATGAATATTGTAGTGAGATCTCAAGAGATGTGTTCACAGCCTAGCACCTGCCATACTTAGTATTATCATTTTTAAGGAGAACATGAAAAGACTTAATATAGACAGGAAGTTGTGATGAATTGCATAAAGACCAAAAATGTGACATAATTTGCTAAAATTAACTTACATAGCTTTAAAATATCAGATGTATTCTTTTTTAATTTTTAGTACAATATACTCTATGTGGGTGGCAGGCCAGGTACTAGAAGGTTCCAATTCAAGGGATCTATCAGAGACCTTTTCGTTGGAACTGGTCCTTTCCAATACGACAATGTTGAGCAGTTGCATCGTGATGCATTTGATGGTGATGGGTCTCTTAATCTCGAGACACCAAGCTCTCATTACTGTCTGCCTTATGTGATTACTGGTCAGAGATGCATTGTAGGAGATAATAATGATTTCAAGTAATTCAATTAGCTAGCTTTTTAATTCTGTTATGTGGCTGAATAATGGTATTTCCAGTGTAATATGTAATTACATAGCTATATTGCCTTCAGCATAATTATTTTGGCAGATGTTCTTGGCATAACCTTAGTATGCTGAGTATCTTAGTAATATAGTATACACATAACCAAACACCCCAATTCAATCAATCTTTCTTTATCTAGGTGTTCTCCAACGCAAACTTGTGTACCTGATTTTTCAACTGCTTTTGCTAAGCAAATTCCACTCTCATCAAGTACCTTCCATCTCTATGGTGTCTGCCGCACTCCTTGCAATTGTGATAATACTGTTAGCTACGAGTGTGGACTTGATGGGAATACTTACATTAACGCGTGTCAGAGAAACTGCGTAGGAATTTCTGTAAGTATTCATTACCCAATGACACCTTGTTTACACTTTCAAGTGTAAAAAATTAATATTTTATTCTTTCTTGCTTTCTCTTTTTAGAAACTTCATGATGGTCAGTGTTACAATTATGCAGTTACTTACTCAGCATATAACAGTACTGAAGCATAGAACTAAGACTCTGGTCCCATACGTACACACACACACATTAATAGATGAAATAGTTTAGGGTTTATTATTATGGCATACTAGCTATTAAATTTTAGACATTATCATTTATAGACAAGACATCTTATAGTGTTATTTTTAATTGTTAAAATTATTAAAAGCATACTTAAGGCGATTAAATTGTTTTGCTGATTTTTGACGATAATGTCATTCATGTAGTGATCTGCTGCACATGGCTAGCACATGATACATATAATAACAAGACGCTTCATTATTCATGCATAGCATGTGCATGTGATAGTTGCAATAATATTAATTAACAAAATCTACTTACACACAAAGGTGACAATTAAAAAAGACTTACAAGATATTGATTATATGCAATAATGTTTGGTGGCCTAGCATATATATAATTATAATTGTTTTTTAAGTAAAAGAATGTTAATCAGTTTATTTCGATGCCCTTATTCACGGACAATCAACTGTTTGCCTGGAGCTTCCAACTCCTAAAAGTGATAAAAACAAACCGGGCGCCAAGGCAGCACAGGGTCTTGTCTTCGCCAATGGCTTCAGCATTTCTCCAGACAAGAATACAAGGACACAGGGGCGTAGCTGGACCTTGGGTGACGGTAGGGCAAGAGGACAAAATGGTGTGTGAAGCGCGCCGCGATTTTGGCCACACCCCTTTTACGTAAAAAATGGAGGCATTTTCCTGCAAGCTGAGCGAAATCAGAGTGAAATTATCATTGTATAGAGCTTTAAAAAGAGTAGCCATCCCCTTTTGTTATTGTAAGAACAATGAATATAATCTTTTGGGTTATAATTTCAATGAATATAATTATAAGGCCACTTTGATGGTAGGGCCCAGGCCCCCTCAGGCCCTACCTCAGCTACGCCCCTGCAAGGACAGCCTCGCACCAAGCGAGGGGACCTGCAGTGACAGGAAATCGGTACTAAGAGCTGCAGGACAAATAATAGTATCTGTACTGTGCAGTCGCTGAAGCAGCCAAAGAGAGGGTATGACTAGTCAGACATGGTGTAGGGACAAGTAGAACAGAACTAGCTAGAGCTGCTGCATGATGCTGACTGCATGCACGCAACGTTAATTACATGTATCAGTCTAGTTATTAATTTTAATAAACACCGTATTATTAATAAATTCATTATTAATAAATTCATTATCAATAATTATTATTGATCGCACTTAGTAGTGTTTGTAATGTACTTATAATTATGGATTGTACTTATTCACGGACAATCGACTGTTTGCCTGGAGCTTCCAACTCCTAAAAGTGAGAGAAAAATACCCATTGATCAATACAGTAGACTTGATCTTACCCTTGTTTCTTGCACATGAGCACAAATATCACAGAAGTAAACGCATAAACAGTCAGTCAGTATGCTACCCTATAAAGAGAGAGAGGGAGAGAGAGTTGCGTGATTTGAAGGAACAAGTATCAAAGTTCTTATATACCTCGATTCCCTTGGACTCTCTGACTTTGTTCCTCAGCATTGTCCTAATGATGATGTAGCCTGGAACGAAGAAATAAAGGGCGGCCAGGGCGCCGAGGCAGCACAAGGTCTTGTCTTCGCCAACGGCTTCAGCATTTCTACCGACAAGAATACAAGGGCAGCACCAAGCGAGGAGACCTGTAGTGAGAGGGAATGGAAACAGTAAATCAGTAACACTAATCGGTATATATATATTATATATAACAGCTGCAGGACAGATAACGGTATCAGTGTTGTGCTTACAGGTTGTGCAGTCGCTGAAACAGCCGCAGAGAGGGTATGACCAGTCAGACATGGTGTAGGGACGTTTATTCAAAAGTAGAGCAGAGCAAGACTGCAAAAGGACAACGAACAAGGGCTGGATGGATCGCTGGCTGACACGCTATATTAATTAAGTTAACTAGTTATTTATTTTAATAACCACCATCAATAATTATAATTATTCATTGATTCATTGCTATAAAATTGTTCTTTTTCTCAAGAGTGATTGCTCTTGTGTGCTTCCAATGCTCTCCTCATAACTCCAGTAGCAAAGAGAACATCATCCTCTGTAATGCACATTGGTGGCTTGATACGGAGACACTGCAACAGAGAAACACATAGACATTAATAACAAATACATAGGTAAGTAAATCTATTCATTAAACAATCAACAAAATAGTTTCAGTTTGGAGAATAAAAGAATAAACATAAACAATTTAAGAATAATGATAGTCTAGTCATGCTCTACAATATACAAAAGTTATAAATGCTCACTGTTCCATAAAGTCCTCCTCTTCCTATTAGGACTCCATTATCTTTGATGAAGTCCCAAATCTCAAATACTTCTTCAGGAGGAAGTGGAGCCCTGCTTGCCTAGAGAGAGATAGAGAGGAGTGATTGATTAGTAAGTGGTTTATTTCAGGTACTTTATCTTTCACTAGTTCCAATCCAGTCATTAATCCTTTGCCTCTAATGTCTCCAACAACTTCAAAGTCGTCCCTCAATTTCACGAGCTCTTTCAGTAACAGGGTACCAACTGTATGGCAGTTTGCTTGTAACTCTTCTTCATCAATAACCTTAAGAGAAAGAGAGAGAGAGAAAGAAAGGTGGGGGACAATTAATTTAAAGAGCACACTTATGCATAATATGCACATTTATGAATGTGGCATTTGAAAACTCACATCAACTACAGCTGATCCAACTGCACAAGACATTGGGTTACCGCCAAATGTATTGAAATGAAGTGCCCCAGTTAGACTCTTAGCAATGGCTACACATACACATACATATAATAATTGCAGTGTTGTCTTGACAAAAATGATAAATACAAATATTTTGTGAACTTGTAAGCAAAACAGAAAATGCTAAAACAACAAATTTTGGACTGTATTGCATACAAGTACATGCAAACATAATTATTTACATGCTTCACTGTCTTACTATTAGATTACCTGGGGTAGTCACAACAGCACCCATAGGAAATCCATTACCAATTCCTTTAGCCATAGTAACTACAAAGAAGGGTACGTTAGACTAGCTGTAGTAGCATAATTCAATAAAAACAACATTACTAGTAGCAGTAATAGCTAAAATCATCATACTCCCTACACAAATAGGGCAGTAACATACTAATAATAACAATGCTTCTATGCTATCGTACTTCTATTATCAACAATAATCAGTTTCCCATGAGATTAATCTTCTCAATGCTTTACAATCATTTAGGCATTTTCAATTATGAGATTTACTTTAACAAATGATGCCTAGTGTATTGTCATTGCACTATAGTATCAGAAAGGGCATACAATACATTAGACTGTACATCAATACATCAATACATCATACAATACATTAGGTTGTACATCAATACATCAATACATCATACAATACATTAGATTGTACATCAATACATCAATACATCATACAATACATTAGGTTGTACATCAATACATCAATACATCATACAATACATTAGATTGTACATCAATACATCAATACATCATACAATACATTAGATTGTACATCAATACATCAATACATCATACAATACATTAGATTGTACATCAATACATCAATACATCATACAATACATTAGATTGTACATCAATACATCAATACATCATACAATACATTAGATTGTACATCAATACATCAATACATCATACAATACATTAGGTTGTACATCAATACATCAATACATCATACAATACATTAGATTGTACATCAATACATCAATACATCATACAATACATTAGATTGTACATCAATACATCAATACATCATACAATACATTAGATTGTACATCAATACATCAATACATCATACAATACATTAGATTGTACATCAATACATCAATACATCATACAATACATTAGATTGTACATCAATACATCAATACATCATACAATACATTAGATTGTACATCAATACATCAATACATCATACAATACATTAGATTGTACATCAATACATCAATACATCATACAATACATTAGGTTGTACATCAATACATCAATACATCATACAATACA